CAAATTCATAGAATTGATGATCAATTGAATTTATTTTTTTTGTTATCTTTGAAAAACTCGCACAAAAACAGTTAATTTGAGTTTTAAAATGTTTTAGAATTCTTCAATTCAAATAGGAACCCATTAATGATCAATTTTATGAAATATGCTAAGTAGTATACTTTAATATCAGATTTTAACGATTATCCGAAATCAATCGTATGAAACTGATCATTTTTGCGATTTTTTCTTTTATATAGTTACTCAATTTGTTTTAACATATGGTTTGATGCAAAAGTTCTTCTTCTATAAAACTGTCGAATTTGCTTTTACAAAGAATAATATTGTTTGTCATGCATTCAAGTGAGTCACGTGAATTTTGGCTTACAGAATTATTGACCGGAGCTTTTGATCCGATCCGAAGTGTCGGTAATTTTTCGAACCTGGCCGAATTTGATTTATGACTTTCGATCTGTTGCCTCATTGACCTCTAAAATAAAAAACTTTATTGTTTTAATAGATTGCTGGATATCGTAGTTTTGAGCACGACATTATACTAGTCTACGATATGGCACAGAGTCGAACAGGACGTCATAGACCTCAGCGATATGGCGTAGTGCTGAGCAGAACATCATAATGGGTGTGGATGTCAATTAAGAGAAGACTCAGACCCAGACATCCACACACGCCTCATCTACATCACACTCACAGCACAGTCGCACCCCAGACCCACTATGATGTCTTGCCTCGGTACTACGATATGTAGCAACTAATTCAATGTTTTTTTTCAAAACTCAATGAGGCCACTGGCCGGAAGTCTGGGCCGAAATTTCACTCTCCCATTAAACTAACTAATAGTTATTTGATCATTCATATTGTGATTTAAGGTGTTTTTAAAATACTTCGATCGCTTTATATAAGCCTAAGAATTAACGATTTCTAATAAATTTTTGGAAATGTGTAATCCTCGAAAGAAATATTTTTGGTGAAACCTTCAGTCTGATACGGTAAATCAGCGCGAAGTTTTGGCTTATTAATAGTCCATTTATTGCATTCAAGAGGATCGTTATAATTTTATCATTGCAAGAGGTACAAAAATCCGAATGGTTTCAAAATAAAGTCGATATCAGTGCGCACTTTTTCATCAAACAGAATTTGGAAATTCACTTTCATTCGTTTTTAATATCAGTTTTACTATATACAGTGTTAAAATAAGCAAAAAAACGTCACTTGACGACACTTTATATTACTGTTCGCAACACAGAAATCAGCAGCAAAAAAATGTCTGGTCGGACAAAAGTGTACTCTCATGTAGTCCTTCAAAACAAAAATCAGAATATTGTTAATAGCTTCAATCGGTTAGGAGTCATTTCATTTTTCTTTGATTGAAAACCATGTGTTGAGAAAAATGTTATATTTACAATATTTATCCGAAGTTTTTGAAATCACGCGACAGATAATGTATTTCAGTGCCAAAGGTCATGCTAAAATTGTATAAGAATGTTTACTCGATGCGAATGCAAGTAAAAATGTAGTATTTTCAAGAAAAAAAAGATCACGAAAACCTCTCGGAAAATAGGATAGTAGGTAGAAATCTCTTACGAAGATCTGTTATATTTTGAGTTTTTTTCTGAACATTCATATATATTCTGAGAGAGAAAACATCACTACGTCTTTTTATGATAAAAACTCGATTTTGATTAGTTTTCAAAAAAAAAAAGTTTTTGAGGCGCTTTAGTATAATGCTCTAATATGTATTCGAAGACTCTCGTCTATCTAAATAACGATATTACACAAATAGGTTTCGTTGGTAACTGAAATATAACTTGAAACACGATAGTAAATTCAATTGAGACGCTGCCGATAAAAAATTAAAATCATCTCTAATAAAAAAAGAAAAAGGAAACAGGAAACAAGACAAATTACAAACAAACTTTTTTTCAATAATATAATACTGCTTTGAACAATAACAAATGCTAGTTACTAATGATTTGGTAGATTCGTTTATTCTGTATGTACAATAATGTTGCCAAAAAATTGCTGAGTATGTCAATCTTATACTATATGAAACATGACTGTCATTAATTTTACCCTGATTATTTACAGAGATTATTTTGTTGAACAATTTTTTATAGCAAGAATATATGTTGGCTTGTTGAGCTCATACTAAAGTGAAACTAGTTAGCAAATCAGTTAATTAATGAAGGAATGATTAACAAATAAGTTTCTTATGTTAAAAGCAAAAAATCTAAGAATTTCAGAATAGACTGAATAGAAAGCATTACATCTATGATGAAATTTTCAACTAGATCTAATTGAAAAAAGCACTGCCTAGGCACAAGTTTCCTAAAGACTTTCTAATGTTTTCAAACAAAAATTTGTATTTTTTTTCTGTCATTTTGAGATTCCTCAGAAGGATTTATACCATATAGAATTGATTTTTGAACTTCTCATTTAATTACCAAGAAAGAAAACTTTTCGTTTCTATATCCGTACTCTGTAACGTCACTTACAAAGGTGTGAAAACAATTTTTTTCGAAAATTCAATCATGGCAAGAAAAAACTTTATGTAAAGATTTTATAGCCTGAAAACTTCTCTGTAAAATGTAGCATTAAGTCTTCAAAAATACTGCTTACACTCTCAGTATTTTTAAATGAAAATCATGTAGTGAACATTCTTTGTCTTCTTTTACGTCGGAGTAGCCAAACAATTCGTCGCATCGACGATTCATTGCATTGATACAATCTAATAACAATTTATGCGCATTTTGTCACCGATTAAGTAAATTTTTACCACATCCTTGAAAAACAGAGTTCAACATCATCATAAAAATCAATGAAGATATTTTTAATGATTCAATTTTTATTTCCAACTTCAAACTATAGTATTATAATAGTTTCTAACATAATGAAAATATTTTAGATCCATTTCTATTGCATGGTTAATGTTGATGGAATGAGAAATTTCTCAGATATGACTATATAAAATAAGAACTGATAAGTAGTGAAACTAAAAATATTTTGAAATGAGCTTTTAAAGTTTTTCAGAAACTGTAAGAACATATTCTTTTTGGATCAAATCAAAACTCAGTTTTATTAACGAAGACAGTGTACTTTCCACCTTTTCTAAGACATTATATAAGTTTGGACTGTATGATCGAACTTTTGAAATCTTAAGGCCTTCTTAAAAAAGTCACTTTTCGTTTGAATCATCGAAATTGAGATAAATGCATAGAAAAACAGCTCGTGAGCTTATCTTTCATCAATGACAAAAATTTTTACTCAATGCCTCGTGTTCTCCAAAAATGTTTGAAGATTTCTCTCATCCCCTATTCGAAATATAAGCTGTTTTGAGAAACAACAGAAAATCTTTTTTTCGGTTTTTTCTATGTTTATAGTTTCTTGATCGCGCAATCCAAATTGCTCTGTCAATACTCATTCAAGATGCAGTACAATATAGGGCTTTTTTTTGTTAAGCTTTGTCTTCTCTAAACATACAAACATTTATATAATAAGAGCGCCATTTTTAGAGAGCTTTTTGAGTCATTGAACTTTCGATCCCTTTTTCCGCCTAAAATGTAGAATTATAAAAAAGGAGCTCTGTACTGTACTGTATTTTGACATGGTCTTTCAAATAAAAAAAATTAAGGATACACAATGAGCTTGGTTCGAGAAATTTAGTGTGCCAAATGAGCCATTGTTGACGCTGATGTGGCCAATATATCCCTTCAATATCATGATATTGCGCCGAAAATTTTACTACAGCTATCTCACTATAGTCCCAACATGTTCTGAAAATTTCATGCCACCTGAACGTGCTTGGACTAAGATCGATTTTTGAGTGTGCCTTCATTTCTCGACTTTGATCGAAAGATTTCCTTAATCGATGACAGAATGCATATAAACTGTATTTGATTATACCGATACATCGAATCATTCTCGCATTTTGTGTCTCATTGCTATTGCTAGGTTGTTAATGGTAACTTGCTCGAACAAAGGTGTCTAGGATAGAGTTTTTGCAGAGTATCGAGAGAGAAACCCAATATACATTTGATGCATAAAAATTGATTCTAGGAAAGTTCAGCATTCAGAGATACGCGTCGCTAATAGGTGAAATTATCTATATATCGTTCAGAGCGGAACGTTTGTTTAGTACGTAAACAGTTGTATGTAAGAAATCGAACGAAAACAATAAAAATAGAATGAATAAATATATATCGAAAAACTGATTGAACAAAAGCAAATAATTCAGAGATAATTTAAAAAAATGAAATGTTAGAAGATGCTAAGGATAGTAAAGGGAGTCTTGAATATGTATCCAATGTAGATTTATTTATTCAGCAATAGATAAGTTATAATATCAGACAAAAAGAAAAATCTTATTCGATCATTGTACTTTCCTGCCATCAAATGTTATTGCTACTATTTACATTTCTTTTCTTTATTTTTTTAGGCACAAACATTCAATTTCATATTTTTTGGTTTTTATATTGAGCTTATTCATTGATTGTCGTCCAAAGAAGATAAGACAAAAAATAATGTATTTATGTTTCTCTTTTATATTAAATGCTGATTATTTTTGCTTTTCAATAGTTCGAATTGAACTAAGGTAAAAATTGACAAAAAAAATATACGCATGTTGTTATGTTAATTGTTCTGTAACGTTTTTTGTGTTCGAATGAAAGTGAAATAGATCGATTGATGAGGAATTAAATCATAAAAGCTGACGAACTTAAAAAAAGATATCAAATCATCATACAATAATCAACTGTTAATTTTTTATAAAATTCTAATAATTACATAGGCTATACTCATGCATATTTCTGCTCTTAACATTCATCAACACGTTATATTGTTAAATTTTTCAATTCTATGATAATTAATTACAATCTTCCTTTATAAAAATGAAAAAATTTTTAAAAGAAAATCGAACAGATTGTTGAGTATGTTATGGGAAATATTTTCATATTGACATGTTGATGAAAATTTTAAAATAAAAATGTCAATTCGTTTAATATTGACGCCTTTTTTTTTCTTTGTAGTTTTTATCAAATGAAATTTTTGATTTGTTGTTTATTTCATACATATTGATGACATGATTAGACATAAGTAAACAATTTTTTATTATTATTTCTTCAAATTAATATTGATAAATAATTGATCGAACACTTGTTGTTTCACTTGTCTTAACACTAGATGTTGTCAAACGTGAATGACATACGCACGGATGATATCGAAAGATTTTTAATGCATGTTGTGTTAATACACTACATTCGACGACTATCAAATGACCTTCATTACTAATACACAAGTCTTGAGGATAATTAACATTATCAGAACGTTTTAATAAAATTTCTACGTTATCTTCATCTAAATCATGTTCTACTGAATAAATAATCGAATTAAGTGAATCAGCAATAATAAGTTGTTGATTATGAGCATCAAATGTAAGAGAAGATATATGAAGAAATGGTTTATGATCAAGTTTAATAGAACGAAGATATTCACCATTTATTGTTAATTGATGAATTACATTCGATGGTGCAATTGGATTACTAACGAAAATAAGACTACTTTCAGGATCCATACATAAACAAAACGCTATTTCATTTGAATCTAAAATAGATTGAACATGATTGAGAAATATTAAAAAAAATTTGATATTTTTTTTTTTGTATAAAATTATTTCTATTACTTTGTATTAATGATATTTTCTTGAGATTGATATTTGCTACTTTAGTTCTTTCGTTTGCTAAGAAAGTAATAATTAAATTTTTTTCACATGATACAGCAAAATGTCGTTTGCTTGTTGCAATGAAATAAGGTTTTTCTTTTATAATTAAACTATGTTGATGTAAAAATTGTCCATTATATTCAATAGTAAAAAATTGTATTCGTCGATTATTTGTATCAGCTACAAGAATATTAGACGATGATTTATCGATTAATGCAGCGACACTCCATGGTGAATCAAATTCATAGAGACCATTACCTCGTTTTTCACCACAAGTTGAACGAAGTATTAATTTAGATGTAAAAAGAAGAAGACGACATTGATCTTGTTCACATATAATTAATGATCCATCAGTTTTAGATAAACAACATATTGAACGAGGCCAATTTATATTAGAAGAATACGATGCAAGTAATTTTGGATTTCTATTTCGAATAAATTATATATTTATTTATTTTTTTCTATTCATGAAAATATTTTACCTATCATTATTTGATTTTTTAGAAATATTATTAAAGAAGTAAATAGCTGAATAAAGACCATGATGAAGATTTTCATTAAATATATTCTCACTTTTAAAAATTCTTGATTGCTTTGATTGTGAACGACAATTATGTCCTGTCAATAATCACATTTTTTTAAAATATTTTTATTTTATATGTAAAGAAAAACTTACTTTTATTTAATGCAATAGAATAAGGTAATGATGAATCAATACTAATACGTCTATATCGAATATCAACTGGTTGATAGCCATGTGGATACAAACGATCTTGAGTTGCCCAATCAACCATTCTTACTTTGTCATTACACACTCACAAAAAAAAAGCTCAATTGAAAAAAAAGGATTTTTGAAGAAAACGTACACATACGACTACTCGAATGTGTTTTTATTATTATTTGACATTGACATGTATAAGAAACGAAATAACGGTAAGCAACAGTAGTTAAGGATCATATTTCTTTTATATATTTGCTTGTTAAGTGGAATAAAAAATAGAAACTCATTTAAAAGTTCTTTTAAGGACGCAGAACAATTTACACTTCATTTGGATAAAAAGAAAAGAAAGAAAAAAGAAAATACAATCGATTTTCTCATCTGAATTTTAATTATTATCTTTATCAAAATAAATAAAAGTAAAAACGAATTTAATTTTTTTTTTCAATTTGAAAATACTTTTTTTTTAGTTATTTACAAAAGAGAAAATTAATAACGAAAATATTCTTTTCAAATTGTATTGAAATATCAAAGTCAACTGTTTTTTTTTAAATCTTATCATACATTCAATTCTGTGAATGAAACAGGATTCATTAGAACTTTGTTAGACTACTTTGATTGTCTTTAATTCATTTTTTCATCTTTATCATTGTCAATAAGAACAAAGAAATTCTGAAATATAAAGATTGAAGAAACTAATCGCAAAATCTAATGAGTGTATTACAGCAAGAGAAAAGAACTATGATAAAAATAGTTATCGAAATCTTCCAAAAAAACAAAATTAATAATATAGTCATCGAAATTTGATAAAAGTAACATAATTTCGTTGAAAAAAGAGATGAAAATTTTTTAAAAATAATAATTCTGATTATATTTTAGTTTGGAGATCAAGTGAAAGAAAATTATTCTTTATGTCTAATCTTACCTTGTAATTCATATTTTCATAATTATTTCGTGGAACTTATGGATATTTTCAAAGAATATAGTGAATAGAAGTTTTAAGTCGAAGTTTGTCGCTTTCCATCCCCCAGCCAGTACAAACCTTAACCATCGAGAACAACAAGTATCACATTCTTTTCTCAGAGTTTCTTAGCTAATGAAAAAAAAAGAAGCTGTACGACATTTTGACGATAAGACTTCAACTGTTTCAGACAATTATAAAATATTTTGAGGTCTTACTCAAAATTTCTATAACTAGAATACATATTCAAGTGTTCTAAATAGTGTAATCTTTGATTTTTATGTCAATAAGAATTTATATTTAAGATATCAACGATACTAGGATGTTGATGCATTGATTTGTTACAGTCGTCGTAGAAAACTTGAACTGATCAAAGTAGAACTTTGGCAAATAATCAATATCAGTGTTTGTAAGCCTACCGATATATATATATATACATATAAAAGTCCGTTGAAATAGATTGTCTAATATAATGGATATGTACAACAGGGTTATTTGTCAGTAAAATCAATGGTTAGAATAATCAGAATGCTAATTTAAGAAAATCAGAATACGAAAAAGAAAAATAACAACAAGACAAACAGAAAATAGTGACAGAAAAAAAATAGAAAAAACTTCTGTTACAAATGTAGAAATAAATAGGATAGATCATTTCTCTAGCGATTGATTATCTTGGAAACCAATTATAGTTTGAGAGACATTTATCACTTGACATATTTGCTATTAATACAACGAGACCAAAGAGCACACATGTGAGTTCCATATTAGAGCTCCAAACAGCTTGTACTAACAAGCATTTTCGTATATAATACTGACATTGTTTGCATCTTAGATGTTTTTATATGTTTATCATGGTTATTATCGTCAACTCTCTGTTTAATGATGATAGAAATAATCTTTAAATAGTGATGATAGTATCTTTTCAGTCGTAGATATGTCATCGTATATTTATATGGCATCATAACGAGAAGATGATGTATATAAAGAAGAAAAATCCATTTATCAAAGAGAACCATTAATGAATAGCAATAGTTGGACGATAGATTTATTTTCAAAAATATATACTACTATTTGATTATAAAGATTTTGTTTTTATCGATTTATTATTTATCAATAAAATAGTGATGAAGATGACATCATATGTTATTATATATATTGAAGACGATTGTACGAAATCATCATGCTAAATAATGGAAAGTATGTTATTTATTAATGTTATATTTTAATTGGTATAGCATAGAATAAAACTAAAAAAAGATGAATGACAAATAAGAAAAAGTGTCAGCCATGCTAAGAAAAAATATTATTGAAAAAGTTTATTTGCCAACGATAAATATTCGTTGTAATTGAATTTGAATCATAAGTATTATTCTATTAAAAACTTTGATTTATATCATTTCAATTCATCAAATGATAAAAATAATTATAATAAAAAGTTTAAAAAAATCTTTGTATTGAGAAACATACAAATTAGTTTTATAATAGACGTTTTATGAAACAATTATAATTTAAGTTTACAATCTTCTTAGTTTGTTTAATATGATAGTAGATAATAATTCCTATTGAAACAAAAAATTATTTTCTATACTCGTTAACTTTAATTGTACTGAAAGATCATAATAACTATATTTGTTTCTATTGCGTATATTGATTTAATGTACACGTGTACGGATAACGTGCTAGTATTATCAAGGTCATATTTTCCTATACATATATGCTGTTTCCATAGATAAAATTCTCATATTAATTCTTGATCTATTTCAAATAAGATTTCGAATTTATTTTCATTTTTTCGTATTTTCTAAACAATTAAAAAGAATAAATGAATTCAAAATCATCTATTATAGCTACGATATTAAAAGATCATACTGATGTTAAAAATGCTTATCAGGTTTCTTTTTAATTATTTATTCAAAAGATAAAAATATGTTCTTTGATTCTAATAGAAATATATATCATCAAGAGGAAATATGGTTGAACGAGAATATTGGGCTAATTATTTACGATGGGAAATTACACGACATACTCTTGCTGAAGAACTTTTTCTTTATCCAGCTTTTGAAATATATTTAGGTGTCGAAGGAAAAAACATCGCTGATCAAGACCGTGATGACCATCAAGAAGTATTTTAGTTTGTTTTGTTTTTCTTCATTATTATGATGATGTTTTTTAATTATTTTTTCCTTCTAAAAAATAGGTTAAAAATATGTTGCATGTACTTGAAGCTTCATCTGTAGCAGATTCACATTATCCTACAACATTTGAAAAACTTATGTCGAGTTTAATGGAACATATTCAAAGGTTAAAACATTAGAATTAATCGACAAAATTATCTTTTATCAATTTTAGTGAAGAAGAAAATGATTTACCAAAATTTGAAAAGTCAATTACACGAGATATAAGTGCTTCATTAGTTCAAAAATTTGAATTAACCAAAATGCTTGTTCCTACTCAGTAACTTATCTCTTTTGTTTTTATCTTCTTTTCTATTTATATCTTATTCAATTTGCAGATCTCATTTGAATGCAAATCACAAAATCCCATTTGGAACAGTAGGCGAACTTATGGGTGCTTCACCCGAAAAACTTCGTTATTTGATTGATCAATATTCTGAAATAAACTGAATGGACTCGTCATATATTATGTATATTCATGTTTAAAATTTCCATTAATTCGTTTAGTTCTATTATGCATATCTTAATAAACTAGCATTCATATTGAAAAAGTGTACAAATTAAATAGATTTTTCATGATTCATTTATTCATCCTTAATCATACACATATTATTGGGTATTTTTAAGTACACTTCTAAATGACTATTTATTTATATAGCAGTTGTATGAGAAATTTTTTCTTTTGATTAAGTATAATAGTTAGAAAGATAAATATGCAATAGATATTTCGTTAATATTTCATTTTATGTTAAGGAATTCAATAGATGATTCGTTAATAAATTATATTTGCCTGGTGAGATTTATTTAAATTCATAGATATTCTGTATTTATGGAAGTAAATTGATCGTTAAGATAAATTAGGATACGATGAATGTTCGTGTGTATTCAGCTGAATTGATTAGAAATGTATTCACTTATATAGACATTGATCAGTGTTTTTATTGACAATGAAAAATGAGTTAACATCTTTCTTATTATTCAAATGATATAACTTGTCTTTTGTTAGGTAAATAAGAAATTAATAAAAAAAAAAAAAAGAATTTCTTATGCAAAAGTCCAATGAAAAATGTCTGTTTTTGTGACCTTTTCATTGATATAAGAATGTTTGTGAAAATGATATGATATAAAAACCTATTACTTTGAAAACAAATAGTAAACAAAACATAGTATTCCTCTAGAATAATTATCAAAAGTTAACTACTGTTATTAATAGAGTCAATCATAGTTTACAGATAGAAAAAGATCTAGTTCAGAACAACACAAGCCGTCGATCGTTTAAAGATTAGTGAATATTTAAGGTATTTATTTAAGCTTGGCTTTGTTTTTATTTAAAATTCTTTTGTTGAAAGGAATAGAAAAAAAAACAAAGAAAAAGAAAACGAGTCACATTAACTTAATGTGCCCGTGTAAACTAGTGACGTGTTTATTAATTTCGAGATTTAATTGATAATATGTTTTATATAATATTTCTCGCATGTATGCACCTATAGAAGAAAAACATTCTCGTACACAACATTTTATGTCTGCTGAAGAAAACTTTTGATCCGAAGAAAAGTCAAAGATGATCTTTTATTGTTTTTCTTCATCAAAAATGTTCTTATAAAACTTAATCAACCTCACGTCTTAGAATATATTATTATTCACAATTTTCAAAAACTAATTGTTCCTTTGATCTGAGATTCAATGTGCAGAATAAAAGTCATGATATGCTCTAAATAATAAAGAAACCTTTAATTCAATCATCAGTTTTACTTGAAAAAAAAAAACAAGAACAATAGAAATATACTCGAATTTTAGAAGTGTTTTCATATTTTGTGATTTAAAAAAGTCGAATAAAAATAAAGAGAATAAAAGTACAGATGAAAAATTTATTGTACTGTATTTGATCTAAATTTAGTTTGATATATAATATAATTAGGTTGTGATAATTTATATTTATTGATTTTTTGTTTGTATTCAAGAGAATTTTGTTGTTGATGTAAATGTAAAGCTTGAATCATTTTTCGTGCTGCTTGATTTTTTTTGCTAAATTTTGGTTTAACTTTATAACAACAACAACAACATGATAAATAAGCATATAAAACCATTCGATATCTTTTTGACATAAAATAATAAGTAAATGGATTACATAATAATGATGCAAATGAAAAAAGAAGAATTAAATCAACAAATATACTTGGCATTGAACGATAAAATTTTTTATCAAATGTTCCAAATGTATGATAAATAAATAATGGTGTCCAACAAATAAAGAATTCAACAATAATAACAATTAAAAGTTTAAGTGCTTTACGACGATGACGATCAATTAGATCATATCCTTGACTTGTTGATGAACAACGACTTTTATAACTACCTCCACAAGAATGATTTGAATTATAAAAATATTTTGAACGTTTACTTTCTTTTGATGTTTGACGAGAGAATATATTTGATAAAGGATTTTTTTGATTATGATTAACATGTTTTGGCCATGAAGATGTTATTTGATAATCATCATCACTATAACCAGATTTTGATTTACCACTACTTTCTTGAGATGGTATACGTCCAAGAAGTTCAAAATTTGATGAATCATGTTTTTGTTGATGTTCATTCGAATTATATTGATGATTTTCTAATGACATACGTTGACGTTGACGATAACTATTACGATGAAGAGTTGGAGAATTTGATGCATTTGAATGAGCTTTGCCCGAATAACTATCTAAAATACGTATATATTAATATTTTAGTTTTTATCTTAAATAGATAAATTTACTTGGTAAATTTCGCATTTTCGTTGCAGTATTATTTCTATATATTTTACAAATAATTAATGTATAAAGAACAAGCATGAAAAGCATTGGAACCAAAAAATAAAAAACTATAAGAAAAAAAGAAATGAATTTATTTTTAATTAATTTTCTAAATATAAATTATTTTACCATCTAAAGCAACCATATAAAGTCTTTCATCAAAATCTTGTGGCTTGACTTTTTCACATTTAAATCTTCCAGGTTGAGGTAAAGAACATAAATTATAGATCGAAATATTTGGTAAAGCCGTTAAAAGGCCTAATATCCATATTAAAAATAGAATAACACCATTCAGAAAATTAGTAAATCGAAGAGATTGAAGTTTAATTGTTAATAATGGATGACATATTGCTAAGTAACGTTCTACACTTATACAAACAAGAGTAAACACATCAACAGCAACACTTAAACCTAAAAAAGTAAATCATTATTAAATTGATTTGATTTTCAAGGTTATTTATTTATCAAACATGACATTTTTATGTCAATTATAAAAAAAAAATATCTAATATGTCAATAATTAAGTAATTATATTTTGCAGGAAAAGAAATTTCTTTTGTTTGTTTAGAAGGAAAATTTCAATGGAAGAATATGTAAAACTGATGTGTGTTTTTTAATGAGACAATGTCTCTTCAATTCGATAGAAAATTTATACATTCATCTTCTTGGTTTTTATGTTATATGAGAATTTGTCTACATATTATACATTATGAAATGTGAGCACAAAAGATCTCATTGCTTAAAATTAAAATACTGTTCTTTTCAGTAGAAGAAAGAAAGATTGACATCATTATCATAGACTTTTACTGATATTATTTCATTAATTACATGTCCATCTGTTTATCAGATTAGAAAAATTTTTTATGCAAATTTTGAATAGTAAAATTAGTGCAAGAAGATTGTCTGTTATTGTCATAAAAAAATCATTTGATGATGAATAGCATTAATTTATTTTTATCGAGTTACTTCAAAAAAACCTCATATGGATATTTGAAATTTTAATCAACTATTCGAAGTATAAACAAATTGAAAAAAAAAAAAAAAAAACTAAAATACATTTAATAATTATCTAATTTCTTTGACATTAAATATTGAAATGAAGCACTTCGATTCTTTTACGTTTGTTTGACATTAATGAGGGCACTTTCTTTCGACGTAATTACAACCGTCACGTTAAATGAGATAAATTTCCCTTGCGTGTTTTTGATCTTATTCATCTACACGATATTCAATGGTTTAGTTACTGTCCTTAAACTAGAAGGACAAAACAATCTTTACTTTTTTTAATGAAAACATAATTTAAAAAAAAAAGTTTTTCTTTTTAATTTGATTATCTCAGAAAAAAAAAATAAACATAGTAAACTAAAAATAAAAAGCTTTTGACCTTATATTGACATACATAGATTTCGTAACCTGATCACATATCATAATGAATTTCTAATTCAGCAATTATCAAATAAAAATAGTATAGAAAAATCATTATTTCTGATAATTAGATAGACCGACTAACAATAGATTATGTAAATATAAATACTAAAAATGACATCAAACTATCAGCAGTTTCTTTTGCACTAGAAATAATGTTATCTAACAAAAACATTTATTATTCAGTATTTTATTTCTCACACATAACTTTTCGAGTTTTTTTTTTCTTTCTTTTTAAATAAATCAATAGATTTTTTTTGAAATCTTTATTGCATATATATATGTTTGAATGAATAAAATGTTTTGTTTTAATGAAAAAAAGATTAATCTTAAGTATATTTCATCTTGATTCTTTATGTCATGTTTCAACATTTTTTTGATTAAAATAAAAATAATTAATAGAATAAAATAAATACTCATGTTTTATATGACTAAAAAGGACTCTTAAACTGAATCACAATATATAGAACAAGTTATGCTGACATACTTTTTTATGGCATATTTATTCAATCGGTTCTTTATCTTATTTCGCCGTTTTTAATAAAAACAAAAGAAATTATTAACTCACTGACATCAAGTATTATTTGATATTTTTAACTTTTATTTGCATATAAAAGAAAATCTATGTTTCTATATAAAGACACATTCTAATTAACAATTTTCAAAGATAAAAACCACAAAATTACCTTGAACAATGGGTAAAATTTTGCAAATAAGTGGTCCAAAGACAAAGTTTCGTTTGACTCTTGCTATAATAGTAAATGGCATAAAACATGCACGTAATAAATCAGCACATGCTAAATTCACTAAATATTTATTATTTGTCAATTTGACTGGTCCTCGAGAACCAAACATAACAAAAAGTGCAGCAGTATTTCCCAGTACAGCAAGAACAAAGATTATTAATGATATACTATTAATAATCCATTCACCATCACTTATATTTGAAGAACGTGAAGAATTTAATGAAGATATTGTTAAGTTCGATAATAAATATGAAGAATTTCGATGTGCAGATGTTCGACACGATGATATGAACATGTTTTGTTTTGTTTTCTTTTATTTATACATAATTAAAAATAATTGTTTCTAAAAAAGTAAAAGTTCAATTTCATATTTATCAGAAAGATTCAATTATAAAAGAAAGAAAAAAAAGCAAAAGGAAAAAAAGGAAAAAACAAAAGATATATTTTTTTCTCATTCTCTGTCTCATTTCTCCGTATGCCATTCTATGTCTTATTAGTGTCTGCCTTAGTATTCAGTATGTTTTCTATGTCTGCTGACAAAAATAAATCTATACTTCTTTTATTACTCACAAGTTATAGAGGGCAAGAAAAAAAAGAAAAGAAATATTTTATGTCGATAAAAATGAAATTTGATTCTCATTGTTTTATATTTCATTTTCATTTAGTTAAAAGAAAACTGCGAAGAAGATACACAATAAATAAATATTTAACATAACTTAATTAATATTTTCTTTAGGAAAAAAAAAAAAAAAAACTTTTTTACTTAGTGACTTCGGAAACTTTTTTTTTGGTCTTTGTTCTTTCGATTGAAGATACTTAACATAACAAAGTTGAAAGAATCTTTTTCAAGAGAAAAAGAAAAGAAAAGAAAAGAAAAGAGAATTTCATTGTGATATGTCAATCTTTTCCAGTAAATCAATACTTGATTCTCTGTTGGATATATGCTTTTGTCTAATATAACGTCAACTTATTCTATTGATAGATTTACTCTTTATGGGTGAATCAGTCCTTTTTATCAAGATACAAACAAACAGACTCAGTTTATTTTCATTTAAAATAAAATCTTTATCAGTCATATCGTGACTCGTTATATTATTATTATTATGCAAAAAGACTTTTTATTCTCACAAATGATCATGATAGAAAATATTCATTTATTTTCATCTATAATAAAAAAAGAAAAGATTTCTCTTTCAAGAAAGAAAAATTCTGCTTGATCAATGTTTCTATTCATAGAATAAACGATTCGTTATATAATTTTAATCAAACAACTCTTGTTCAAACAAATTATAACGATTTTATACACGGAATTTTTTATTTATGTTCATTTTTAGATAATAATCGTATTGATTAAGCTTTTCTCTTTCTCTTTTAGTTGATCACACACACTATTAAACATATGTTTAGTGGAAATAAACATGTACACGATAAGATGTATAGAAATTTTCTATAAGAAAGAAAATACTTAAGTTTTACCTAAGTAGATTGCATGTTTTAAATTTAGACATAAAAAAACATCAATATACTTTTGTTCGTTTGAGAAAAGAGAAGAATCTATGGTAACAACTTGCACTATTAAGTAAAAAAGAAAGACCTCAAAAACAACATAGAGGAAGTGCATGTTTGTATTCTTTCTGTACGAGAAATAAAAAAAAAAGAAAAAAAGAAGAGAAAAAAAATTTTTTGATTGATGAGAAGGAATGCTATACATAATATGAAAAAAAAAACCTCTTCGAACAGTACATAAAAATACCAAGATTAAATTTGATATTTTTATTCATATATAGACATTGACAAAAACAAACCATATGGAAGAATGTCGATCATTGTTTTTTTTATCAATTAAACTTCGTAAAAGATTTAATGCTATAAATTATTCTTTCCTTTTAAATAAGCAAATGAAAATTAGATAACACAAAAAAATAAGTTTTTATCTATCACTTTTATATCTTATATTTATTTTACGATATTTTTTGTTATTAGTAATAGATCATTGGTATATTCTAATTATCTTTTCATGCGGCACGTTACACCAATAATGAATAGATTTTAATTATGTTTTTATATCAGCTGAGTAGTATCATTTTCTAATGATGAAAAAAATTTGTGACTTTTATTGGAAGAACAATGAGTCAAGAGTGAATCCTATAAATGCAAAATAACTTTCTTCTTACTTGAAATAAGTGTTCTTTAGGCGTCAACATCCTTTTAGTTGACGATCAGATGATTAAATAAATATTAGATATCAATACGGGATTATTTTTCAATCAAATCTTATTTGAAAAATGTTTTTTTTTTGTCTTTGTATGTGTTTGATCAAGATCAAAATACCGATGAAAAATAAACTCATCATAAATTAGTCATGGTCTTTTATGAATTAATGATGAGAAAAATTATTGGTTTTATTTTAAAATTCGTATTCAATATAAATTAATATATAGTTGAATGAATGATAAAAAATAAAATGAATGTGGGAAGATAAAATTTTATATCTATTTCTATCTTTAATAAAATAGAGTCTTAAAAAGATTTTATGTTTTCAAGCAATGCATCGTGATGATAAGGTATTGCATCAAGAAAATTAAGTAATCTCAACATTTTCTTTCGTGACTTTTTCTATTCTTTAGATATTACCTTGACAGTGTATTTAATTATAATAAAACTAAATATTCATAGGTCAGAGAATAAAAATGAATGGATTATACTATTTTTACTTAATATATCAGATTAAAAAATGTCAAAAATAAGGCACGCTTTGTGCAAATAAATGATTACATTTTATTTTATCAATCTTTTGCTTAAAAAATTGAAAGATCTAAATCAATGAATCGAATAAAAAATGACTAGACATAAAGGAAACAACATTCATCATCATTTATTGATATTAAGTATTTATCGAGAATGGTCGTTCAATCTTCGATTTGCTTTCCATTTATTTTTATTCTTCTAAAACTAAGTGCATCTAAGAATTTCTTGAATTCTTTTTTCTTTTGTATTTGATTATGATTCTATGAATAATGCCTGTGCTTTTCTTTAATTAAAGTCACATAACCTTAAGGTGAAATAACTTTTTTGAGAGTTATTCTTTCGATTTATTTGCAAATGATAAGCAACGACAATGAACACACAAAGAAAACGGAAATCGGATGTCATAATCATTCACCTACTACGTGCATGATTTATTCACTTGTTAAGAATTCTTATTCTAGTTTACAAGCAATGTTCTATTTAATTAAAAATAGATTCATCTCATTCTAAATGACGGAAATCAAAGAACAGATAAAAAAAGAACTCGAGCTAAATATACGTATGTCATGCATCTTTATGCATGAGAATAATATTAAGATTAATACGAGTTTATTTATTTAAACACATTTACTTTTGTTTGGAGAGAAAATACAAATAAAAGCAAATAGTTCTATATTGATTTTATGCATTTCATATTTCTATTTTATAAAAAGATAACTTTTTTATGACATTGATTTATTTAACATCATAAATATCTAACCTAGTTTTGTATGTATCATTTACTAGAAACTATTTTCTTTTTCTTTGTTTTTATCATAAATTGATCATCTGACAATAACATAACAAATCTATGCTCGATTAGTAATAAAATTATTACTGAATAACCTTTTCAAACAAACAGAAACACACCTAAAATAGAGAAAAAGTATATATAAACAATTGAATGCATATTCTCTTTGCATCATTTATAAATTTTCTGTTATTAACATTCAGAAAAATAAAAAATCATTCTGGGTCATCATTCTAGAATAATATCGAAAAAAAAACAACGATTTATTTATTTTCATCACGGAAAAGAGTTCATATTAAAATAATTTAATGAATTGCATTTGACGAACGTCATCTTATTCAAATATGATTTATAGAATATGAATTTTTTATATTAAATAATATAATAGATTATTAAATATTCATTATATAACTTAGTTAATTATTTATTAATTCGAAATTTTATCATATTCACATTAAAACAATTCCATCGATATAATATTGAATATTAATCATTTTACAATAATAAAAAAGAACAAAAAAGATTTTAGTTAATCATTTTAATTATATTATATTTGGAATTTTTCTACATCAGATATTTTTTTTTTGTTTTTGTTAGATATTAATAATTCTTTACTAATAACAGATTTATTTTCATAGATTAATCGTTTCAAACTGATATGTTAGAATAATTTGGCTAAAACAAACTATGTTATAGATAGAATAGTAGAAAAATTTTGAAATAAATAATGAATGCTAGAAATTTTCTATTCAAACTAAAATCAAATAAAAATTTTGAGTTATTGTATAATTAGACATACGAAGTTCAATCATTCAACTAACTCAAAAATAAATGATATATTTCTTAAAGATAACTATCAGAAAAATTATTTCATATCTAATGAAAGAAGTCCTTCAATTGATTAATCACTTATCAATCAAGACTATGAGTTTCATATAGATTTTAATGAATTGTAAATGCCTTTAAAAAGTTCAAAGTCTTATTTGATTTCTGCTTAGATATTATATTTTTACGGTATTTTCTAAGCAAATATTGTTATTCTTATCAGAAACATCAACAAAATTTGTTTTTCAAATGTTGAATAAAGACAAAATTTAACAAGAATAGACTTTTTTTTGTGAAACTTTCAATTCTGTTCGTTATTTCTCTCCTAAAATAAAGCTATGATGAAAGAATGTATTTTATATCGCTCATATATACTGTCAAAGTCAATGTTTTTATTTTATGATAAAAGAGCATATCATAAGATCTTAAAATCTGATAATAAATTATTCATCGTTAATACTCATATCTATGCAAAGCTGAATATTGAAATTTGAAAGTCACGTTTTCTGATATTTCTCACGGTAATCATGACATAAACCTATGACGTGCACTATCTTCGCAGAAAAAAATTAACGGTTCGAAGTCTTTTTTTCAGAGTATTCAGAGTTCATTAGGGTTTACATCATACACAATAGTCTTCACTTAAAAATGATACATTAACTGAGAAAGATCTCTTACTAGATGACAATATTAATCTAAAAATAAATTGATCATATCCGAAGCTAAATTAAGTACCGAGAAGTTCAATGTGACACTAAAAGAACAAATGTGCAATCAATGACTTACATCTGTTTTTTGTCTTCCGATAGAAATATATTATTTATGTCGGGTCATTTCCGTCTAAAAAAAAAACTCGACTTATTGATGAGAATATGTTTAATGATAATTTTGACTTTCAAGCTTTTTTCTTAATGAACATTGTTGATTACAAAAGACCAATTTATTCAAATTGATCAAGTCTAATGTTCGAAAAAAAAAAGACATTTTAAAGCAATTTTTACATGATTTTTGCTTGGTATTATTTATTTCGAAAAGAAAATCTCAACTGTAGATAAATATGAAGAAATTTTTCTTTTAAAAATAAATATTAATTTTGTTGAGAACAATGCAAATTTCGTTCTACTTAGCGTGGAACTGTTCCAAATAACACTCGCTTTTTTTAGCTTGAATTGAACTCAATAGTAGAGCTTAATGAGAGTAACAAAAGTCTAAAAGGGTTCGCCTCCATTACTCTTCAATTGTTCTGTTACGTCCGGTTTACTTGGTTTTTGACCCGTTTTTAAATCCTATCAAAAATCTGCTGAACTGATCATAATTGGACGACAAAGGCTCATGAGAATGAACCCTTTTCAACTGTAGCGAGTCTCACTGAAACCTCCCTGTAAGTCCAATATGAGCTGAAATGATGGTGTCATTTGGAGTAATTCCTCTATAAGTCTCGCGTAAGTTATTAGATCGTATCAACAGTAGAATTTGATCTTTATGACACTTAAAACAAATTCAGAAGTGTTTCTCATCTGATATCTTAATTACTTATCAAAAAAAAGCATTCTCGGTCTCCGTTGTAACAGGGTCACAACTAAAAACAATTGACCTTGATTTGTGTATAATTGGGCGTTCGACAGCGTGTCTTCTTGATTGCGGGCGATTTTTCTTAATTGGAGAAAAAATATGTCCGCAAAGCAGAATCGAAGTGGAGAGATGAAAATGTCCGCATTATAGAATCAAGAAAGAAATAGGGATAGTAAGAACAGTGGCGTAGGCAACCTTGGTCAATTTGACAATTGCCTAATGGCTTAAAAGTTATTGCCTAATGATATTTTGGAAACGATAGCAATGGCCCATGACTAAAATCTTGATGTATGTGTGTTCAAAGACTTCGATGATGTTACTTTAATAAATCGCTTCAAAAACTTGACAAATTGGAACTTTTCAAGTCACAAATTAGAACAAGTTAGTTAAATTTCGTCTCAAGTCAGACAAGTCAGATTAAAGTCTCTAAAAATTCTTTCGAAGTTAGTCAAACAAATCAAAAATGGCTTAACTTGTTTTTGACTTGATTTTCCCAGCTCTGCTACTTCCTGTAGTAATTCAACCAAGTGATCGCGAAAACGACAATTCCTCATTAATAAGCATTGGTTTTCGTAATGGATAAGACTTTCAAAAAAATGAAGCCCAATAGACTTTTAATTGCCCCAAATGACCCAATTCTATAAAAAATTTATCGGGAAGTGGTACAAGATTCAAAAATTGCTGGCTACGTCACTGAAGAATATATTTTTGAGACATTAGAGAAACCGAGTATGCTCGCCTCTAACCTGAAAGTAACAATTCATCTTTAAGAAGCATCGGTTTCTGTGATAGAAATAAACACAAAAAAAAATGATGTCCAATAGATTTTAAATTGTCCAACATTGCCGAATCTTTAAAAAAAATTATCAGGAAATTGCCCAAGACACAAAAATTCCTGGCTACGCCACTATTTGTATCTTGGTCTTTCTTCACATAATAATTTTTTTCTTGATTCTATAATGCGGACATTTTCATTCTCTGCCTCGATTCTGCTTTGCGGACAGTTTTCAAAATGCGGTTATTTTTGTCAATACCTACTGATTCTGCTTTGCGGACATTTTACCTTAATTGGTTAAAAAAAGTGTCCGCATTTGTAGGTGTAGCCGTTCGACAGACAGCATATTAGCAATTAACAAAGTTGTAGTATAGAAACAAGGTTTTTCAAACTTATAAATAATGATAAACAATTATTTAAAGTTTCATACTAATTTAATTCTTGCTAATTTCTCAATTGGAGTTGAATCTCTTTTTGAACGAGATGAAGAAAAGGCTGATTTCATAATGTATAAAGATGTTTAAGAAAAAAACCAACTCAAGAATTTCAAGTTGAAATTTCTTTAATAAATGCATCTTCTCTTCTTTGGAATATTTTTTATTTGCGCGTGACAACTTTTCGAGCAATAGATGTGCCTTTGAATTGACATCAAATTCGATTTTTTGTCTATAATATGCATGTATTTTTGAGTTTTGATTTTGTTTTCGAAGTTTTTATCGATCTTTATTAGCCTTCTATATTTCCAATTGGAGATATCTTATCTATGATCTTTTACTATTTTTCATATATCCGTTCTCTTCTATTATAATACAACTGATAATAAAAATATTAAAAAAAAAGTATTTTATCCATTATATAAGTAAACAAAATATTCTTTTCTGGAAATACTAAACATTGGAAAACAAAGCTGATTTCTGAAAATTTTTCTTTTCTATTTTTGAGTTATAATCTAATATAGAACATGTAATAAATTCTAAATCGACAAATGATTTTCTTATTGAGTAAATCTATAAATTTTACTTATGATTGAAAATTTCAATGAAATAATGTAGGTAACTTTCGAAGCAATACTTTTAGATTTGAACTTTTAAATTTTTCATATGTGATGCCGTTCATCTTTAATTGATATGTCTGATAAGGGAACGTTTTCAAATGTTCGATAACTTTTTGATTAAGATTATACTCAGATGAAAAGACATAGTGAGAAATGACTAAGAGAATTCAGTTGTCTGACCTATTGTTCTTTTGATACCGAATATTGACTACATTATTTTAAGAGAAAGCTCGTACTCATCCTTCTCAGATTACTATGAAAATCAAATTTTCAGTTTCAATTTGAAACTTAGTAGAAATTGAGTTCTCAATGACACTAACTCATCCTTTTTATCAGAAGATTTTACAGTATTCGTATATAAGAGTAGAAAATTCAAGAATTAGTTAAATTTTCACAAATAATCTAGTCTCATTGATAATTTTATTTGTGCAATGTTTCATTATAAAACTCGAAATTGAATTGTGATAATGATCTGAAGAGAAGATTAGAGCTTTCTATTAATAAATGCAGTAACAATGCGATATCTTAATAACGAAGGCTTAGACAACAAAATCTTCTTAGACTTTTCCATTATTGATCATGATCTCTTATCCAAAATAAAATCTCGATTAAACAAGCAATCAAACACTTGAAGAAGTTCTGTCATATGTTTAATTTCTAATTTAAAATAAAACTTTATAATAAAATTATTTTAATTAAGTTTTCAATAAGATATTTATTATGAATAAATGTTCGATAAAATATACAGTTTTTTTTTAACAATCTAGAATAAATGCCAAAATACACAAAAAAATCATGTTTAAAACAATACAAATAGAACAGTAAAGCGAGATTAATATTAAATAAGCATGACTAAACAAAAATAAATTTTCGTTTTTCTTTTTTCTTTTTTTTTCTCATTCGTATTATTTAATAATTGTTTTGTTAATTAACAAATTTAATGAGATTCTGATGTTTTACTCGTAGTTGTTGTAGCATTTGAAGCATGATTAGCTGATGATTGATGATTTTCTCCTGTTGCAATAGATTTCGTTGTTATTATCTAAAACAAAAAAATAAATAAAAAATGAAATAAATAAATAATAAAAACTCGAACTGTTTGAGTTGTTGATTGAAGTCTTCGTTGTGCATCTTCAGCAACAAGTTCAGCAACTTTTTCAGTTATTTGATCAACTTGTTGATTTGCTCTAACTTGTGCTTCTTTAAAAACAGCCATTTTTTTTTCATTAGCTGCATTTTGTATTAAATCAATATCTTGTCGTGCTTTACCTAAAATTGTTTCTTGACGTTCATTTAATGATCGTTCAAGTTCAGCTAATAAAATAGCTTTATCAGCATCTAATTGTGCAAGACGTTCTTGTAAACGTTGTTTATATTCATCTTCAATTGCATTTGCACGTTCTTTTGCATCAGATAATAATTTTTGTTGTTGAGTTGCTGTATCAGCAACAACTTTTTCAATTGCACTTGATACAGCTTCACTTATTTCAGCAGTACGTTTTTTAGAATATTCATCTATTTGATTATGTGTTGTACCTTTTATTTATAAAATAATAAATAAATAAAAATTTATTTTTTATTTTTTTTTTTCTATAATAAAAAAATAAATTTATTACCAAGTTTATTCATAAGATCAATAATTTTTTTTGAATTTTTAATATTAACATTTGAATTTGTTTCTGTTGATACAACTGATTGAACATGAACATCGTCACTAATTGCTGTATGAACAATAGATGAATTTGATGTTGAATCCGGAATAGAATTTATTGCTTCATTTTTATCATTATGTTTTTTATCATCTTTATCTTTATGATGTCCAAATAATGCATTTATTATACCAGACATTTTTTATCTTTGATTTTCAAATTTTTTAATTAAAAGAACTAAAATAAATAAAAAATAATAATTAGTTCAACTAGTAAAAAGCTTCTTTTTTTTTATTCTTCTATGTAGTTTCAGGTTATGATAAGCATAGAAAGAATAAAAATAATTTGACCAACGCATTTGTTAGAAAGAACGAATGAATGACTGACTAGAAATTGTTCTCATTGCCTTTTACTGACACCATACTATTCTTTTTTCTTTCTTTTATTCTTCTACATCGTGTTTCAACGGTTATTCTTCTTTTTTTTTTCTTCGTTTCTGCTTATCAAATCTAGAAGAAAAAGAAAGAAAGAATAGTATTTCGAATGACTACATGACGATTGGTTTCTTTCCTCTTTATAGATAAATATTCTCTATCTATTCTTACATTGATAGATAGACGAACGAACAGTGTAAGTTCAAGTGACCTCTAACACAAAAATAAAAAAGAATTGTTTAATACAAAGAAGATGAACAAATCAATCGTTCTCATGTGACCAGATGGAACAAGAAAGACAAATTTCTTTTTAGTAGAATCCAAAAAAGAAAGAATAAATTGAGAGTGAAAACTATTTCTCCATGAATCATCTATTCATATCAAGTAATTAAAAAATTGTATTACATTTCATATTTCTAATTGTATTTATTGATAAAAAGACAAATGGATAATTTTTCGATATTCTTCGTCGCATTTTATAAAAAAACAAACAAACAATGAATTGTCTTCTATTATAAAAAGAACGAAATAGACTTCGTAACCTACATTGAATGCGTCAGATGTTTCTAATCATATTTATAGAATATAGTTAGTTGAAAATAACAGATGAAGTATTGTTTTTCTAGATGTACGGTAATTTATTTGTATATGATTCAAAAAATAACTTAGTTGCATTTGAATCAGGTTCATTATCATCATCCGGATGTTTAATACTTATTGGTGGTCTTACAGATGGTTTTTTATCACTTCCTTATGTTGAAAAACTTTCATCAAAACTTGAATCACTTTCAAAACCATATTCATTAATTCAACCATTATTTCGTTCATCATATCTTCAATATGGTTGGCATACAATTGATGATGATGTTGAAGATTTAAAAAATTTAATTGATTATTTAATTAATAATCGAAATCATTTAAAATCAATTATACTTATGGGACATTCAACTGGTTGTCAAGACATAATTCATTATCTTCGTCAAGAAAAAAAACATCCAAAAATTCCTCGAGTTATTCTTCAAGGACCTGTTAGTGATAGACAATATTTATCTACACTTTCATCAACAAAAAATCAATTAGATTATTGTTTACAGAATTTAGAAAATCTTAAAGAATGGTTACCAAGATATCTACATGATCCACCATTAACTATTCAACGTTGTTTATCATTAAATCAATCAAATTCCATAGAAGATCTTTTTTCAAGTGATTTAACAGATGAACAATTAAAAAATATTTATGAAAAAATCGAAACACCAATAACATGGATTTGGTCAAAACAAGATGAATATGTTCCAAATGATATTAAACATCAAGTTGAAGATTTTATTAAAAATAAATTAGCAAATAAAAATAATTCAACATTTATTTTACTTGAAAATGCTGATCATGCTGTTAACAATCAACAAGAACAAATTTATATGATCGAACATATTGCTCAACTTATTTTACCTTCTAGTGAATAATTATTCTTCATTCGAATTAATATATAGACTTTCTCTTCATATTAACATTGATTATTTTCATTACTTTCTCGGATAAGCAAATATTTACCAAGTGGATCTAAAAAACAATGAAGATGTTTCATTCATATTAAATTTCTCTATGATCTATTTTGTGATAAATTTATTCTAAAAACTAGTCATGAATGATCTGTTATTTTGTTTCTTTTTTCTTGAAGAAATAATAATGTTGAGTTTTTCTTGTTATAATTTAATTGTGAATCGCAAGATAATTACAATCATCTAATCTATATTCATATATATATAATCTTTAATAAATAATTATATTTATATAGACTTTTATACTACAGTGTCTGAAAGTCAATCTTCGAAACTTATCCTCATTTTAATACTAAATCATATGTTGATATATCATCATTAGAAAATTGATTTATGCTTCGGATATGGTCATATGAATCGAAGGTTTCTAAATATCTTTCAAAGATTTATGATATCATTTTCAGCTCATAAGGAAATGTGTCTTAGTGTCAAATTGCTTTTTGATTCGATGTTACATACATACATCATGTAGGTTACAATAAACTATGAATACTTATTTATTGTTGTCGAGATTTTGTAGATTGTATCAAAATGCCGTAGTCACTTTTAGAAATATCAGAAAAACAAACTTTCGAATCTTGATTTGAAACTTTGTAAAGAAATAGGATTTAAAAAGAATGGTTTATTGTGAAAGTTTTCGTTTTTTTTATTGGATCTATATTTAAATAAAAACATCGGAATTTGATGTTGTATATGAGAAGTGCGAAAGATATGACTTAATAATAATTGCATCTTAAGAAGATAATCATTCAAAGATCGAAATCTTTTACAATGAACTAATTTAATTAAAGTCTATCATTATGAAAAACTTTTAAGACGGATATTGAAATTCAATTTTCGTGAAAACAAGCTATAACATTTTGATAAAAACTATGATATTTCGGTAGTAATAATCTATTAGTTTGAATTCTTTTTAGAACACGTATAATTGATTCTAATCAATACGATATACATAGTCTAGACTCAAAAGTAGTCTTTTTCTTCTCTTTTAATATCATATATTTGTATTCTGCAAATTCATCTACCATAATTTAGTCGAATTGATTTTAAAAGCTATATGTGAATCTCAAACTTTGAATTTAGTTTAAGTTGAAAAATTTGCTTATTTAAATGAGTTATTTATCAATAGTGAATATTTAAATGATTTTAGAAAAGATTTTAGTTTAAAGTAAATCTATTTCCTTATGTTAATTTAGTAGTCTTCAATCATTGAACCATACAAGAACTATTGGAAAACAAAAGCAGCATTGTAAATTCATAATCACATTTAATAGTCAGTATTTGAATCAAATTTAAAAATTCTAAAAGTATTTTATTAATTATTCTCTCTTATATCATATAAACAATATGAGAAACAAATTTGGATTCCGGATCTTCACCAATAAGACTTTCACCAAATAGCATTTTCATCAGTGACGAAACTCCACTGTACTTTCGCCAAAAGGCACCCCGGAATTTCATCAATTGGCGAACGTCCTATTGGCGAAGTTCCGGTAACCCAGCAAATTGAAATCTTTTTATAAAAAACATCTTTCTATCTAATACGAATAAAGTTGAAACCAAAAATTTGATCTTATAATTGAATATGTTCTTTAAAAGACAAAGATCATCTTAGTTATAAGAAAATTTTTTCATTGACCATTAAAATCTAAAGTCATGTATTGAATGAAATATTTTATCTCATCAAGAACAGAAAGAAGTCTATTGAAAAACAATCAAAATTAGCAACTTATGGAAATACCATGTTTCGATATAATGCACCTCAAAGTTGAATCGCTTTATCTAGCAGAGATATCTATTGCAGCATCACCACCACTATAAAGGCGATAACAATAGGTAGTTTTTCGAAGATATCTTAAAATTTTTTGAAAATCTACAAAATTTTAGTATCCATAAATGTAATACTTTGAGACTTAATCAAATCAATCTCATGAATTAATTATAATAGATCCTCAACGAAAGAGTTAATCATTGTGCCAACTTGATCATGAAGCAACATGGAATCTGTGAAAACAAGATGAATTTTTTTCGACAAAAGAAATGTAATCATGTTTAAATTCTAGAATTTTTCAGGTAGAACACGATAAAATTCTGCTAGAGTAAGTGGTATGTTTTTTTAGTTTCTTAGAAACGAAAAATTAATTTCTCTTGTTAAGAAGAATGAACAAGAAAAGTTTGTTTCTACGAAAATCTAAGGTGTAAAGTAATATTAATTTTATTAGTCATAATAAAAGTTTATAAATCTTTGCTATTGATTTTGTTTTACAAGAAAAATGTTTTCTTGTTTTATTTTGTTTTATTTCAATATATCATTAACACAAACTTTAGACAAATCTATGTATTTATTTCATTCAATGCTATACATATACATTTAATTTAATTTTTTTTTGAGTAAAACCTTGTTTGATTAAATATGAACGATAAGAATGTTTGTTTTAGAAAAAAAAAAACATTTTGTTATTTATCCTAAATATAAACGTATATAGTTAAAATATGATTCGAATGAATATTTTTCTAAGTTATAAAAGGATTCTATAGTCAATTAATAAATCAACATCAACAAAAAACAAAACAAACACAAATAAATATTTTCCTTCGAACAAAACTGAAAAGTTAAAAATAAACTATAAAAACAGGGTTAAAATAGTATTCGACTATTTTATTAATTTATAGTTATAGAATATCGAAATCTATTTAGTAATCATCATATTGATTTAAACTTTTTTTTGAAATAAAACTAAAAAATAGATTAAATAAATTAACTTTGCTTTCAACTTGAAATTCATCAAAATAGAAAAATTTTCATTAAAAAAAAATGTGAAAAAAGAAGAATTCTTTTTTTTCTTCGTATATCATCTATCGGAAATCAAAAATAACAAATAAGAAAAAGAATAGAACCAAACTTTTTCTTTTCCTTTTTACTAAACTCTATTTAATTTATTAAAAATAAAAAGCAACAAAAAGAATCAATCGATACATGAAATGAAATAAATCGTCGGAATGATAATGTTTTTCATCCAGCTAAATCGAAACAAACCCATCTAGTTATATCAACAAACAATTATCTTTTATTCCAATTAATATTGATTTATCACTTGTATATGAAAATAGTATAATTAAATCTAATAAAGCTACTATTATAAATATATTTGATCAAGAATTATTAGAAGAACATTCGACAAATATTTATATTAATAAATATGAAATTCAAATATTACAAAGATTTTATTATTAATTATAATTCTTCATTTATCTCAATCTAAACTTTTTCGAAATTGGACTCAAATTTTATTCAATTCATTTAAATAATTATATTTATCAAGATTGAAACAGTTGATTAATCTTACATAGATAAATTTTTACAAAAATTTTGTTTTTTTTTCTTTATTTCATAATAACAAATGGAGATTGCGGTCAGTAACATCATCGAGCAATCGGACAATAATGAGCAAACAGAACTGGTATACTGTTACATAGTAACAAAGCATAACTAAGATTTTTCGGAAAAAAAAGTTATTTGTTATTTTTTTGTTATTAATAACAAATAACTTTTTTTGTTATTGTTATTAATAACAATAACAATAAATTCACATCCCTATTATATTATGAGATTGACAGTAAAAATTAGGAAACCATTGCTGTTATAGTTACACATTTTAATAAAGATAAAAAAAATTGAAATGAATATAGAGAATTTGGAATACGTAAATGAATATCATTACATCGAGCAGGTAAAAAGAATATTTTACAGACTAATAAAATATTTTCTAAAGAATATATGATTATAATAAATAAATAATTAAATTACTTCTTAATAATGATGAAAATGCTCAATATGAAGATAAATCAACAAATACAACAGCTTTACAAGTGGCTATTTTTCGAGATAATTTATTAAAAATACAGTTATTAGTTAAATATGGAGCTGATATTAAAACATTAAACAAAGTATAGTTGATAAAAACGATAAATTAGCTTTTATTTCAATAGTACATTTTTTTTTCTAGGCTGGTGATGAAACAATTCAACAATTAGCTATATCAACAAATAGAAGGGTAACTAATAAATTAATTAGTTTTTGATAAAATAATATTTTTATTTAATAGGATTTAATTAGTTATGTCACTTCATTGATAAATGTTCCAAGAAATTAACAATAAACTATTAGATTTGTATGAAAAAGGAATTTTGTTTTTCAAATAGAATCCTTCTAATCTAAACTGATATATAAGCATATATTATTGTTTTTTGTTTATTAATTGAGTTGATGATGTTGTTGAATGACTGAAAAATATGATTTGTGAACACAAGTTCTGGTAATGCATAATATGACTCCATTGTCAATTTGATTGACGTCGTTTAGAATGTGGACCAAAAGCAAATGTATATATAGTAAAAATTTTTGATAGAGCATAAAATGCGCCATTATCTAATGGCTTTATTTTACCTTATTTAGTAACTAAACGTGGATTAGCTCGTAATAATTCTGTATCATATCGAGCTGTTTCACATACTGTCAATTGAATGCAAACACCTGTTATATAAAAAATGAAAAAAACTTTTTTTTCTGTTATGTGTTTCAATCATACCATCATAATAAGTACAACAAAATCGAACATCTTTCATAAACAGCTATTGATAAATCAGGTACAGTTTCACATGGATCATTATGAAGAAGTTTTTGTATAATGATCTGGTTGTTCAATATGTAAACAACAAAATTCAAATGGTAGAACCATTTGTTTTTCAAGTTCATTAAGTGATTCTAATGGGCATGGAGAAAAATGTTTGTTCAATAATTGGATCAGTTAAAAAATCTTTTTTAATAATATATTATGGATATTAATTAATAATGGTGATGATGATTTTGGTTTAATATCCATATAAGAAAATGGTATTGATTCAATAACATAGTCCGGTAATTCAGATGATTGTAAACGTAAATTTCGAAGAATTGATGAGCAATTATTTGATAATGATAATTGTTGAATTTTATCTGCATTACGGGGGTGTGGGTATGTGGATTTATCTGTTTCCTTCATCAACACACACCCACACCCACACCCTTACCTCTATAGAGATGTTTCATGGACTTTTGAGAATGTCTACTTCATAATGATACCAAGGCAGGTTTTTTCGGTGCCTCATGTACTTGCAAGATTGTAGCCCTCACTGATTCTCAGTGATCCTAGAAAAATCACTCTGGATATGAATCCTATAGTGAAGAATGAAGGTCCACAAGATTACCTCTATTATAGCTGAAGAGCGAATGTGAGCAAGGAATACTCGAATCCGCTGCTAACTTTTCTTACGTTTAGAAAAGTAGTCTGAAAAATCTTTCTATACATAATTCAATGCGTCTTAGCTGCTCTTTCCAACGGTGAAAATCGGAGATCTCTCTCTCGTTCATATCAAAAGTTATTCAAAAAATATCCACAGCCATTTTACTCTGAAATGGACATTAGTATCTCATAAAAGGCAGTATCCAGGAACTTTTATTCTACGACAATTTTTATCCTACTCGTCAGGATCTATCTGCATTGACAAGTTCAAATTTTTCTCATGAATTATTCTTCAGAAACGTTGAAAAGGGAGAAAAATACTATAGGTCATTCGAGGATTTTCTCTGTTGTACAGTATGTTTCCATCAATTTAGATGTTGTGTACTACATTGAATTGTCTTTTTGTTGAAATGAATAATAGATACTATATTTTCATACGAGACTTAAGTTGCGATTACAACACACATCAATGCTTTTAAAAATAAAATATTCAATAGTAATAGGTATGGAATGAAAGAAAAAGTGTTCTCACTGATTTAATGTCACACAGTGATATTCATATCTTAAAAAGTCAATATTTTTTATTCTAAGAAAATAGTTGAATTTTCTTATGTCTAAATTTGACTTTATTGAATCTATAGGAGTATGATGCTCGATAAGGAATTTTGTGGTGTTGTTCTACTTTACGATAACGTTATTTTTGTAGAGTTTCTACTTATCATTCGAATCTAGAAAACAATGAAGATGTCTCATTCGTATTAAATTTCTCTATGATCTTTTTTGTGATAAATTTATTCTAATAACTAGTAATGACTGATCTGTTTGTTTTTCGGACAAATAATAATGTTGAGTTTTCCTTGTAATAATTCAATTGTGAATCACAGGATAATCATAATCATCTAATCTATATTCATATATATATAATTTTTAATAAATAATTATATTTATATAGACTTTTGTACTATAATGTCGAAAAATATATCTTCGAGCCTTTTCCTCATTTTAATATTAAATTTTATGTTGATATATAATTATTAGAAACTTGATTTATGCTTTGAATATGATCACATAAGTGGAACGTATTTAAATATGTTTCAAAGATTTTGATATCATTTTTAGTTAATGAGAGAACGTATCTCAGTGTCAAATCGCTGCTAAGTCGATGCTATATATATCATGCAGGTTACAATGAACTATGGATATACTTTAAAAAGTTCGAAATAACCGTTTATTTCTGCCGAGGTTTTGTATCAGAATGTTTTAGTCACCTTTGGAGACATTAGGAAAACTAACTTACGCATTTTGACTTGAAGCTTGGCACAGAAATAGGCCTTAAACAAAATATGAGCGGTGTGAAAAACATGCGTTTACCATAACGCTGTTTTTTAGGAAGATAGCAATTAAAAGAACGGAATCTTGTGCAATGAGCTATTTTAATTCAAGTCTAAGCCCTATGTAAAACTTTTAATTCGGATATTGAAATTCAGTTTTCCTTGTGTTTCTGAGGGGAATTACGGCATTTCGATAAAAACTATGGTATCTCGGCAATAAGAAGTTATTAATTCGAACTCTTTTATAATACTAATAGTTCATTAAAATCTACATGATGTAGATAGTCTCGACTCAAAAGCAGTTTAACATTTACAGACGTTACCTCTTCCGTATTTTTCTTTAGATATGATCATAAACAACTATGACTTCTCTTTTTTTTGTTTGATCAAATACACCTAGCTTAAGCATTGTCAGATTAAAAAAAAAGTAGAAATCAGAATTTTGGATGTGGGTGTGGGTGTGGATGGGTGTCGGCATGGGTATGTTGAAGAGAGTGTTCACATCTACATCCGCACATACACCCACACTCTCGTCAGGAATGTTGGAACTTTCAGAACAAGCACGAGTCCGTCCACCAGAGGAGTTGCTATTCAACGACGCTGTTGTAGCAGAGCGAGTAATTCGAATGGGACGCCCTAAAAAAATGTGGCCAAACTATATTTCTAACTAATTTCTGACACATATTCTTTACCAGATTTACTAAACCAAATAGGTACAGCACCGATGACTAATGAATTTTTGTTATTGTGTACCAAAATATCATCTGGATTAAAATGTTCGCTGCAAACTCTTTCAGTGTTTGCTGCACTGAGATTATTCATATCCAATGATAAAATATCACACCATTTCTTGAGTTCAGAAGCATCAGCTCTTGGTAGACGAAAGAAGGATACCTTTCGTCTTCCATGACCCAAGTCGCCAACTTTCTTTGGACAGCCAGGGAAAATACAAGTATAAGGCATACCTTTCTATCACTAGCACTCGTTTTATGTTATTACTGTTTCATAGTGAGAAAATGAATGATTGAAGAAAAATATATTAAATGATAGACAAAGAGATGAGAAAAGAATAGAGACTGTCTGGACGAGCAAATGGTCTAGACAGTTTCTTTCTATCCGCAAAAGAACATTGATTATTGAAGTAAGCAATGGAAAAATACATCAAAGTCGTTGAAAAATGAACCAGAATTCCAACCAAGTACATGTCTGTTCATTTCCGTCCGCCAGAAAAATAATTCATTACTTTCAGTCAATTACAAACGTATATTTTTCAATTTTTTCCATAAGGGTTTTCAGAAAACCCTGCGGAAAATCAAGATCTCGTCATATCTGAACCTCGACAAATACCTAGTTTTGTTCTGTTTTTTATGCTCTATCCAATGCAATTCGAATGAGTTCTTCATCACTTTTCACTGTTGAGTAATTTGAGTGTCAAAGAAAGTTGAAATTAAAGAAATTAAAATTAAATTAAATAATTGAGACTTGGAGTTAAAGACTTAATTTTTTTTTCAAAATGTAGCCCGTTCTCTGCTGAGTACAGCCATATAATTAGAACTGCTTCATCATTTCTTGGTTTTGTTAAAAACAGTGTTTTATTCGACCAATGTGTCAAAAAACCATGGTTTTCTAGAAAACCTACTTTCGAGCATTTTCATGAAAAGTGTCCGCTAGGTAAAAGAAAGAGCATGGTCTGAAACCCTTCAGTACCAGATCACGTAAAAATTGGTTGTGCCATTGTCAAGTTAGATTCTTGATGTTAGACGCCTATTGCTGAGAGTACCGGACGCTTAGAAGAATAAGATAATAGTATAGCGATTATTGAGGTCGTAGAACGTCGCTATTATGTATCAAACAAGACCTTTACAGAAATCAAGATTGGAATGAAACTTTCGGATATTCTCGTAATTTATCCAGAACTGAAGCAATGGCCAACAATAGCTGTACCCATGACAACCAGAAGTGCTTCGTATCATAGTGATCACCTGATCCATGGTACCTATGACAATATGACACCAGGTAGAAGAGCCGCCATGTCAATTCAAATGTACATATGAGTACACCACAATCATATTCATGATTCATGTGTCGAACAACCACCTTCTTCTTTCAGGATGATGAATTATATGGTTTTCAATGGTAAACAAAATATTTTGACAAAGCAGCAGATGGATGCGTTGAAACTAGGTGTTTCTGTTTTTCATAATGATCATCTGAAGTCTGTATTGTACAGAAAAAAGCACATGAATTCAATATTTAGAATGCAGAATTGGAAAAATGATTTTCCAGCATGCAGTGACTAGCGATCATTCATCATCCCTGCAAGCTCTGACACAATCGAATTTGTAATAATGAAACGGGTTTTGGCCGATGTTCGAAAGACACTTCTTCATGACACTGGGTTTCAACTTTCACAAGGAACAAGCTCACGAGATACACCGGCATTCAAAAATTATCCTTAGTTCACTGGATGAATAAATCATAATCCGAGGCAAAATCGGTGACTGACAATGGCTTCAGTTTTTTTCGACATTTATTGACCGATATAATTTTCTTAGAGATTTTGAATATGCTATTCTACGGAAAAAAGTATCCTGAATAAAATCGACACTTGATTTGAAGAATTAAGTTGTATAAAATGTTTATTTTGTACAACAATACCATTGGCTATTTTCTTTTTATTCATTTAAAATTGTTATCGAAGGACTGTTGTTACTCGTTTGATTGATTTATAGAACTCTTTTTTGTAGACATCTGATGGAAGCACAAATACAAAAAAGAGAAGCATAGGTGGAATAAATGAGACAAAATAGCCAATAAGAAAAAGCCATGGATCACGAGCCGATTGCATACATTTCGAAACGAACGAAATAATGAGACGAGGTAAAGCGAGAAGAATAAGAATAAATGATGATATAAGTAGATGTTTATTTTTTTTAAATTGTTGACGAAGATGTTGCTTATAGGTTTGTTCAGTGTAAATATTCGATTTTGTTCGTGCTGTTATAATAATAATCAATAGAGCCGAAATGAAATTAATACAAAATGGAACAATAATATGGATTATATTGATTGTTGAATCAATAACGTGAATAAGATGAGAATACTTAACAATGCACCATGTTCGTTGTTCTTCATCATCGTCAATTAATTGTCGATGAATTGGATCTTGAATATGTGAAATAATTGTGAGCAGAATAAGAATAAAAATAATCCATTTAGCAATTCGTCGACTTTTCTTCTTATTAAAATCGATTCCTTTGAAAACTGTTAATGTTCGTTCAATAGCTACACATGCATTTAGCCAATTACTTGTTGTAAGAACGATTTTAAGTAAAAAATCGATTGATTTACAGCTGAACAGCAGATAAAATCTGCTAGCTATCAAGAATCCCATTTGTGAGAGAACGAGGAGAGAAAATTTGAGTAAAAAGAAAATCATCGTAAGAAGACACGTAATTGAAGACGCAAGAAGATAATATCCACAACCGCTATTTCGACATATTTTGGTTTGAAAAGTTATTATCGACATTATATTACTGATGAATCCGAGAAGAAACATGATTGTTGTAATTGTTAGACTGATTTTTAAAGTTATCGATTGACGAAAAAATGAAATTTTCGGTCGAATTTGATAGCCTAATATGGCATCAAGTGATAAACCAAACCCTTGTGTAGATAATTGACATTTTGAACCGAAATAACATTGTTTACATGCACAAATCGATGTAGTCGGACATGACGGATGATCCTGAAAACACTGTCCATCATTTTCACAATGATTTTGACCAACACAATCGTAAATCATATTATGATCGAAATCGAAGCAATTCGCTTGACGATCGATAGTACACAAACACATATAGATTGAATCGTAGAAACATGATAAATCGGACCATTCTCGACAGATTGAATGATAATATTTTATTCGTCGAAGAATCGGATGAACGAGTCGAGTTTTATCTAATAATTCATCTATAAAACGACAACGATGAGAAGGAAGAACTATTGTTGATATATTGTTCGATATGATTTCATTTTGTTGAAGAATAGTAAGATAATAATTATTGAAAAATTCTGTAAATAAAATATGAAATGGATCAGATCGATATATAGAAATCGTCTCATAATCTATTCGAATCTTTTTGAATATAGTTGTACGTTCATGTGGTGCATTACCATCAAATATTCGAACGAAATGAAGAAGAATAGACGATGGAATAGCTATGCCATCAAATGAAAGCGTTATTTTACTATCCAATTGTTCACAAGTTGGACCAGAAAATCCTTCGGTACAGAGACAAGTCGATTGGCCTTCAGCAATACGTTGATCGACCGGAACACACAGACCACCGTTTGCACAAATGTTACCTGTTGAACATACAGATCGAGTAAGAAGACAATGCGGACCAAAATGATCAAGTCCACATACACAAATGGATCCATCGATACATAATGAATTGGATGAACAAGTACAATTCTGTGCAATGTTACACAATTTTCCTGACCAACCTGAATCGCATCGACAAAATGATTTATCTGTGTTAACATACATTGTACATTGACCATGTAAACCACATTGTCTATGACAACTCGATAGAGCTTTTCGTGGAATAGTTAATTGAGTTGCAAGACGATTCACAGGTAGAAATTGAAATGGAATAGACAAATACCAACTGGCTCGATACATCAATAATGTCTTATCAAATGCATCAATATGAATCGAATAATTTTTCGTAGAATCTTTCGGAATCGATGGGTAGAGAAGATAAATATTAAATTTTTTCATACAATCATACATAGGAATATAGATAATTTGTTCAGAAGATTGAACATATCGAGACTCGTTATTGCTAATGATTAGAATAAGAATGTGAAATACAGTCTGTCGTTCAGGCTCCTGAGTTAGACGAAATTGAATCGTCAGACTAATTCGTTGATTCTGATATTGACATCGATTGCCGAAGTAACTTGGCGGACAAAAACATTGATCTGTTTCACCTAAATAAGTATGAATACCCCGATAACAATATGAAAATTTCAACTTTTCTTCCAAACTTTCATTGTCTGGCATCGGAATGGATTGTATTGGTATCGTTCTCATTGTTGCATGCTGAAACTCTTTTGTAATAATAGGATAATTTTCAGAATTGCTTAATGAAACGAATTTTTTCTTGCGTTCTCGTAGAAATGGATTTTCCTGAATATTATCGCTGAGACTGCAAAACAGACGTTGAAGAATGGTTTGATTCCGTTTGAATTCGCATAGTCTGGTTTCAGTGAAGTTGATCGGAATTTGAGAACAAAATTTCCTTTCATCATCATACAACGGACATACCAAACCGGGAAGAGGTGCATCAGGACAAACATTATTCATAGACGTACATGTGGTTGAATTTCGACATCTATATCGAATGGAATCCATTGGAATAGACAAATTTCTACGACAATACATGCGTTCATCGGTACCACCTCGACAATCGACTTTTCCATTACCAGCTAATGATAAAGGTAGACAAGTGAGTTCGTATGTAACAAGAGACAGACACAAGTGTCCGTTTGGTGAACAGATTGAATTCGATGGGCAATCGATTTCATCCACACCGTTCGGACAATTCCAAGTACCATCGCAATGCGTATAAATGTTATTACATGGCCAATAACTAGCGTCACAATTTGTTTCATCAGTTTCGTTGTATCGATCAGATTTTTCAATATCTTCATACGTATCGCATAACAACGGCCATTGTGGTCGTTCGTGACGTGCACGTTCGACCAGTGTCAATTCATCTCCTTCACAATTCTCTTCACCATCACGTACGAGAATAGGTGAAATACAATTGTCATCTGTATCGGGACAATGATAACGATAAACATCATTCAATGAACACGAATTCTTGAATGTTTCATCTTCACCAGCAAAGCAATCATCGATTCCATCTAAAAGGCGATGTTTCGAAATAGATTTTGATAAATATCGACATTGAAATAGACCATCATTTTGAGGTAAAAATGGTAGCGAAGGACATTTGTCGAATATGCGTCGAACATCGAACAAAAGTGCCTGCCAATCGTCATGCTTCCTCGTCAAGTTTAACTTCTCGAATGAGACACACGCCGATCGATTGAGCAATTTGTACGATTTTTGAGCAAATTCAAGTGGACATAATTGTTCATTATAACAAATTAAATCAGGTACAAACGAGTCGTCACTCCGATTAATTGTCGAATAGATGAAATACACATGACCAAACATGATTGGATATGAAGGAAAAACAACAAACGAGTCTGTACAATGTCCCTTCAGTAGTTGCACACACTCGTCCCACAAACAACAGTCATGGTTAACATGAAATTCTTCATTTGCCAGCGTGGTCATACAAATCAATATCCACCAACATTCTGAGGACAAATGTGTATATTCCTTGTACCGAACAATGGATTCCGATAATTGAATATCACGAAAATTACGACAATCATCGCCATAATTCGGAATCATAATAGGAACACAGTTACCATCACCACATGAGAATAGATCTGATCTTGGACACATGTGTTCTTCACATCGAAAAGTCGGATCTTGATGACAGGAGGAAAATCGGTTTTCTAACTCGGAATAATCTTCATCGGATCCATCTAAACAGTCAGGATTATATTTGTTATCATTATAAAATGTATTCGGTATACATTGTGCACCATTATGACATCGATACTGATTATTATTGTCACATTCGTTCATTTCAAGTTGCCAACAATTCTGTTCATCTTGTCCACCATCAAAACAATCTACTTTTCCATCGCATATTTCACGCCAATCAAGACATGCCGGTAACGGACCACGATGACATTGTAGATGTGTGTAACATGAACTTATATGTTCATATTTTTCTTCGTTAGAAAGTGTATAGCCAGTCAAAAATCGTCTCTTGACGATCTCGGTAAATGTTGAAACAGTCACTACAAACTTGTACTGACATAAATTACCAAAAAATGATCCGGAACAATTGTAGAATAAAAATTGTGACAATAATTTGTAAGAATAGTTATGTGGTTTTGTTAAATAGAATTGATAATGTTCAATGACATCGATAGGTGCCGACCATGACAACAGTTGATCGATCGTTACATTTTGTTCGCTCAATTGCTCAAACGTATATGATGTATTGTTTTGAATTTGAATAAATAATGACAAATCCGAAGGAATACAGTAGGGAATGATCTCGTGTATGGAACCGGAAACAATATCATTCAACACGTAGTAATAGAAACAATCGTGTAATTGATAGCTCGTGCCATTTGTCGAACGATAGAGTTTGTAGAGTGAAAAGTGACCATAAATCGATACTGAGATGCATACAAATATGAGAAGACGAAATAGAAGTAACATGTCTTGATGTGTCACTATCATGGAATACTTTTTCAACACTAACGGACTACATCTATTTTGACTTTCGAGGGACGTTTTCTATTTGATACCGTAAGTCAATGGTCAGTAATGTACTTCTATGAGTCTGTCAATGCATATTGAACAGATGAATATCAATATAGAACATTATCACTTGACAACATGTCAATATGAAGGAATGATTTTCTAACTTTCTGAATTTTATTATTCCAATCACACGTCAAATTGTGTATATGATTTTAGTAGTTTGACAGTGAACCATATGTTACGAAGAAATTCTCATCAAAGTGATTTATTAAAATATTTCTATTTCGAATGTTGTTATCTCTTATTAATCTAAAATGCTGTGAAGTGTTCTTCTAGTTACACGTTTTATGATTGGAAGAAATTGAATTTTTCGTTAGTTTAAATGGCGATTTACAACGATATGCACCATTCCAGAGTACATTACCGTTCTATCAACGATATCTGTTTGATATGAGTGTGGGTATGGCTTGTGGAGGGCATGATAAATTCCGCTTTCCAAGGAAATTCAAAATTGGCTACAACTAAAGTGCAGGAGATTGCAATGAGCAGTATTAATGTGACAATGCTCAGAGCTAATTTTCATATATAGAGGCACATTTTATAATATTATATATAACTGTTCTGATACTATTTCATAAAAAAATGTGTATATAACAGATCTCTATTATTTATATTTTTATCGAATTATGGCACGCATTTTTATATATACATAATATATGGTTTGATTTAGGATTGTGTTGGGTCAGGTTGAGTCAAGTCAAGTAAGAATATTGTAATTGGTAATCATGTCATGGAATTTGATGCGTCAAATGATGTGACTGATGAGGATTGCAATGTAAAACGTAATGAATTATTCGACAATAAAAATCGATCAAACCACATATGGATTTTTGATATCATTCTATTCATGCGGTCTTGTAGCAGAATTTGATGAATTCATTCGTTCAGAATCGTCAATACGTGCTTTAAGATATTTAATATGAATAGGTACACTTCAATATATTGTTATATCTTTTACATCTATTTTTCAGGAAAAATTAGCAAACTTTCTTCAGGAATCATGTATGACAATGCATGTTCAATAAAACTTTATAGGAATGCTCGATACGGAACCGATTACTTTAAACTTACTTCAATTAGCGATCATTTATATCACAACGTGCATTTTGTCATTGACTCATTTCATGAACAAAAGCACACCCACTCACATGTGCAAAAATGAAATGAGAGCAAAGCACCCATCACATAAGTATATGTTCGATCATGTCAATAGCCAGATAGTCGAGCAGACGTTCTCTACCATTAGTCAATACAAAACATATTGGTCGAATTATTCATATACGAAAAGTTTTATAAATCTTATCTTGTTTTTTCATTTCCATCAAAGTGAACCAGCAGAAGTTTTATTTTGAATAAATTTGGAAACTTAAAGAGAATTTACAATTTGTTGCAAAAAATATCTAAACAGATGTATCATCTAAGTATTTCAAGAGATAAAAATATATTCCCAAAGGTAAGAAATACTAACCTGTATATATTATGTTTTCGGTGTTTTTTTATTAAATGAATTTCTTATCTCGATCCAACCCGACCCAACCAAATCCTAACTTAGACTTCGACTTCATTTCTATATTCTTTTTTTAATTAGACGAGTTGTCTATGATTATCCTTAAAAGCATTTGATTAAATTTCCATGAAATTTCTCCTATAGTCACTTTATTTGAATTTTCTGGAAAGCGGAACTTATCATCGCATGGGCTTGTGAGTGTCGATGTGGGTGTGGATGTTCTCTCATCCCATATTCACATCCACAAAGTTCGACGAGAAAGTTCTTAGTTCTCAACAAGCAAAGAATCCACACACCAGTCCCACTTGGGAAACACAAGTACTAGTGGGTTCGAAATATTTCAACTTAGAGTAAATCTCTTTTCAAATAAATCTTTTTACGCAACCAACAAAAACTTCTTCCTTATCTTAGAAAAGTGAGCTGCATAGATGATGAAACTCGGATAGCGACCTGTGTCCAGGGTAAGGACGAGGGTCAAGAAAATAGCATCATCTGAAGGTGGGTGAATGAATATGTGGGTTTGAGTAAGGGTGGTCAGGAGGGTGAATACATTGCTCTCAGTCCACCGTCCCGATGACATTCTCGCCTAACAGATTGATATGATGAGCTGGAAGCAATTTCACTGGATATATATAGAATCGTCAATTTACAACTTTTCTTCAGGATGGGTGAGAACCAGTGATGAAAAGAACGTCACTGTCACCATCATCCGTCTTTCGCTCACTCTAACTCACCTGGCATCTGGTAGCTATTTTCCCTTACTCTCAAGAAATGACGATCTAGTAAAAGTTTCTATTTGACATAGTATCCTATGACAAACTGTAATGCTTTTTTTCTCTAAATATCATGCATTTAAAAAAATGCTTTTGATCACGCTCCGACAACGGCTTGTTCACCGACGGTGTGTTCTTTATAAGTCAGTTTCATGTAACTATGCCCGAATAAAAACACTATAACTGAACCGATGCATCATGAAAATAATCAAAATCGAAGACAAACGTTGACAGGGTTCCTTCAATTGGCATCCTCGTTTCTGCTTCCATTGATGCTGGGCATTTTTACAGTGGTGATTACTTTTCATCAACAAAATGTCAGTAAACAACAACAACTGGAAGATCGTCAATTAGCTCGTGATCAACTGAACAAGATCTTAACCTTTCGATTCCCCAACGAGCACAAGATAGAGAAGACGCTCGATTGCAACGTGAAGAAGATAAAAGAAGTCGCGAACAAGATTTGAACATTTCTGAACTTCACCGAGAAGAACAACAAGCACAATGTCAACAGGATATTGCCATCGCTCAAGATAAATTAATGCAGGAAAAGAATTTGATCCATGAACAACATCGTATTGCTGAACAACAGCGAAGTCATGAGCTCGATGTTCAACAAAAAAAGTTATTGGGTTGGGATATTGACTGAGTATATAAAAGAGCTGGGATAATTGCTTCGAGAATTTAATGAATCATTGGCACGGGTGTGGGTATGTGGGTGTGGGTGTGGATGGGGGTGTTGAGTGTGGATGGGGTGTTGAGTGTGGGTGCGGGTGCGGGTGCGGGTGTGAGGTGTGAGTGTGAGTATGGGGGTGGTGTGGGTAAGTAAGAGGTAGAAGAAGACTTATACGTACATCCAAACCCACATCCACATCCACACCCACATCCCACCCACACCCACATCCCACCCACACCCACCCGCACACCGACCCACACCCACACCCACACCCGCACCCTCACCCACACCAAAATCCACACCCCACCCACACCCACACCCACACCCTACACCCCACACACACCCACACCCCACACCCACCCACGCCACCCACACCCAGACCCACACACCCCACCCACCCACACCCACACCCCACACCCAAAAGCAAAATCTGCTGAAGTGTGGAGTATAGATACACTTCATCATTTTTCATGATCAATTGGAAAAGGAAAGCAACGGTTTATTTCGATTTTAGCTGTGATACTAATTCGCGTGTTTTTGAAACTGGACAAAATTATGTCTCAATCTAATATTATTTATCTGAGATATGATCATCGGTATTTTCTTTCTCTTGCGTGCAATGATTGATATGTGCAATATGTGATCTTCTCACAATACTAAAGATAAATACATGAGAAAAAAGTGAAAACAAATAAGATATGCATTGTTTCAAAAATAAACAGATAGAGAATATTATAAGTTGTCCCGTATGAATATGTCTGAAATTAAGAGTATGTGACTGTTATTTAATGTCATGTATTTGTATACAGTTGATACGTTTCTTCCTCTAGAAGTTGTAAATCTCAAAGCACAACACATTATTGACACAACGTAGGTGAAGTTAGCACGGGATTCGAGTATTTTCAGCCCTGATTCTTTCAGGAAGCGTTCCCGATATTTTCATTTGTGTTTCAAGTAGAGATTTCTACGTGCTCTATCGAATGGTAAAATCATATTTACGATATCTCAAACTATTCATTTACAATTTTAAAACAAAAACGATCTTCCCCGATGAGTCATCAGATACTCTGGAAGTAATTCTAGTCGCAATTCGTCCAGAAAGCGTTCCAAGTGTGGTCATTTTGTATTTCAAATAGATTTCGACATGCTTTATCGAATGATGAAATAAAATTTACCATTGCTCATATCATTTTTTTCACAAATTTCAAAATACTGGTTTTTCCTATAGGTGATAGGGAATCCAGAGGATAGTTTCAGTCCTGATTCGGCCAGGATGTGTTCCAGATCTTTTTCTCGTTGTTGATAGATAGAGCACGTCGAAATCTATCTAGAACATAAAATTGGAACACTTGGAACGCTTTCTGGACGAATTGGGACTGGAATTACTTCCAGAGTATCTGATGACTCATGGGGAAAAATCGTTTTGTTTTCAAATTGTAAATGAATGATTTGAGATTTCGTAACTATGATTTCACCATTCGATAGATCACGTCGAAATATCTGCTTGAAACGCAATGAAAATATTCGTAACGCTTTCGGAACGAATCAGGATTGAAAATACTCGAATCTTGATATTAACCCTTTCGAGGCGATTCGGTTTTCATAGAAAATAACTTTAACACATTCATCTTCATGTCTATTCACTCTCGATAAACGCACTCGTTGGACTTTTCAGTATATACAGCCATTCATTTCTCTTTTTCTTGTTTGTACCATTACACAGCGGTCTTGTTCCACGTGGAACTGAATAGTTACTCAAGTTTGCTTTTCTCTTTCTCTCATATGTATTTGCACTAGGAACAATATAGAGAAACAAAATGTCAATCTGTTTTTGTTTTCTTTTCGAAGCATCATCTTTGATTCTTTCTGTTATGATCTACATCTCCTATAGGTGCAATTAGAAGACATATTCTTCTTATTTTCATCATTGAGCATTCTCCAGTGGAGGAAAACAAGGTATAGATTTATCTGATTAGCTATCAGCATACTACACATGCCTCAGGCGATCCATGAAATGATATCAATAGGTGACATCTGAATTGATATTTGGAACGGCAATAGTTAACGCCTACTTGATTTACAAGGAAAATTATGACACAAGCCATGTGACCATGCTACAGTTTTGTGAATCTTGTACGATCGTTACGTCTTAGTACGTCATTCGAGATGCTGGAACTTGGTATGAAGAAACAATCAACAAGTAATTCGAAGTGTAAACTAGCTGATCATAAGCTTGCAGAAAAAGAAGAATCTGCGCGCAATGGTCGCAGACACTGTAGACTGCTATGAGAAAGGAAAGGAACCACAATCAAGAGAAAAGAGCTATGCGACAGCAAAGAAAATAATCTTTTGTTCTGACTGTAATTAATTCCTTTATCTTGGTTGTTTTAATAAGAAATATCATGCTATGGAATAAAAGAATCAAAAAACATATCTAGGACAGAGCAGAATTCACATTGTGTTTAACCTCCTGCCTAAGAAAAAAGCAAAATAAAGTGCTTTTCTATATAGTTTCTCGTTAAAATATAGCGTCGCCCACCAGTGGGTGACATCGCCTTGAAAGGGTTAATTTAGTAGTTGCGCGAAAGAAGGTGGACATGTCTTGTTTACATGTCAAAAATTCTCGGTAGCATCAATTGGAATATTGATAAGATAAAGCCTTTTTAAACGAGAATGAATGAAGATAAAAGGCTTTTGATCATGATTATTATCAGCTAGTTGCCTTTGTTGCTGATATACTTGAGATATGCCATTAGTTACCATAAATTAACTTAACGATAGGAAGGCTTAAGCAAAAAGAGTTTTAAAAAGTTATTTTTTAATGGGCATATGTCAACAATCGATAGACCTATGCGAGAAGAAAATATTTCGTCGAGAAAACTGCTTTAGTAATATCGTTCATATATTCCACTGTAGACAGAAGTGGCGAAAGCCATACAAAGTCTGACTCCATTATAGAAGTGGACAACCTAATGAGTGATCCTTTTCTGTCTAAACAGAACATTTTCCAAACTAATATCCGTGCCAGAATTAAAGAGGGGTGGGTGTAAGTGCAACAACTCGACGACAATAATAGCCAATCGTCTGCGATTTTCACCAATTGAAAGGGTAGATGTGAGGATATATTGTCTCCTGATAACGTATATTAAAAATTCCCTTTAAAACTGATCATCTTTTAAAAAAGCATGCAAAATAAAGCACGAAAATGACGGGAGCACGACTGTTGTGTGTAAGACAATTGTGTGTAAGACAATTCTGTGCAGACAACTGTGTGTATGGACAGTTGTGTGCAAGGAAATTGTGTGAACAGACAATTGTGTGTTAGATGTTTCTGTGCAGATAATTGTGTGCAAAATGAGTGTGTGTATGTGCAAATAAATATTTTTGTCAAAAAAAAGTGAAAGACAATGAAGGAAAAAAAGTGAACAAAATAACAAAGATTAATCAAATAAATAAATCAATGAAAAATTATAACATGAATGTATGAGCGATCGCTTTTATTTTTTGTATATTATCATCTGTAGGATTTTCTAAAATCCGCAAAATTCTGGACGCTGTATGTTGAGTTTGGATTCGCTTTGGTTTTGGTACAAGACCTGTTACTAGTTGAGAAATTTCACCATCTACGTATGATTGCTCTGTTTGAAGGTCATTCAAAAAACGCCAAAAACCAGGATGGGCTGAATCTACGATATTGTTAAATCGTCGGTGCCATCCTTCGACGGCGTTGTTAGTGTGATCGAACTGATTCAGCAACAAATTGTGCACATTCCAAAATGTGATTGGAAACATTGGAATTATTCTTCTGTTGCGACTTCGAAATCTACCTATGTAGTAATCTTCAAAATAATTGTAAATTGGATCAAGATCTGAAACCTGTAGATTACCAATATCTTCAAATGCCGAATAGATATCATTTGTTTCCAAAAATGCTAATGCAGGCAGCATTCGTACTGCATGTGCATATTCTTCATCGTTCCCATATTTAGTTGTGAAACCTGCTTTTTGAACTTGTCGATAGATGTTTTGTGTCAAGTGGAAGAAACAAGCATGAACACTTGATTGAGGCCAACAGGAATTGATAGCTTTCATTGCTCCTGATTCAAAATCAATGAGAAATGAACTGGGTTTAAACAGAGGCCTTAATGACATAATAGCATCATAAACCCTCTTGTAATTTTCTTCGTTTTTACGAGGCATAAGAATATAAGCCAATGGAATGATATTTCTTTGCACTGAACCATGGATTGAGTACAATTGGTAATAAAGTTCAGGCACAACTTTGAATATGCCATCAATATACACGTCTGTACACGACTGAAGAAGATCAAGCTGTTGGTTCGTCGCAAATATTAAAAATCGATCTGAATCTTGGTTTCCTGAGTCATACTGTAAAAATTGTTCTTTTTTCTTTGTAAGAGCAAATGAACCGTTTATATGTATTTCTGATATTGATCGAGGATTTGCTGGAAAATTTAGATTTGCAGCACGTCTTCGACAGATGGTACGTTTCAAGTTGTTGATAGGTGGAAGCTGGCTTAACACTGCAGTAGATGCTGTAGCAATTGATGCTGCAACAATTGAATGTGTGGTGATTGTTGTCTTACACAGATCACGAATTTCAGAACGACATTGACGAATTCCACTTATACTCGGATTTGGAGCATGATTGTGGTCGCCAACTCGATAACAAATTGTGTTATTAGTTGTATGCAATCTAGCTTTGCATTTTTGTTTGTTGCATGGTGTACATCGCCAGTATATTTTATTTTCATGAGCACGTTCTTGAATGTAATCAAAACCGTTCTCAATCAGAACTGGCTTGCCTTTTTCAGTTTCAGAAAATAAAATTGACATGATGTGTTCGTACTTTCAATGTGATCTATATGATAGTGAATTTTAAATAACTGTAAATGGATATCTTCTATTATTCTCACTCGTTTAAATACTTTCAAGGAAAATTGGTCGACGTCCATGCACATTACCGTCCGTTCTCATAAGTGTCTTACACACAACTGTCTGTTCTCATAATTGTCTTACACACAATGACCTCTTTTCATAATTGTCTTACACACAATTGTCTTACACACACCAGTGATAGACCCCGAAAATGACTTGTCATCTAGATGAAATATTCATTTTGATCTCGGATTTACATGCAGCGACTTCAGATCTGCATTTCAAGATGCAACGGAAATAGTTTTCTTCTTACATTCTAACATTGAACAACTAGAATCATGGGTTAACATGCGCAGATAATAAGAAACTTTGCTCAATTGTTACTAGATATTCGAACTTTTATGATAATAGCTTGACATCTCGATGAAAATGTAATGAAATATAAGAAAGCATGTTGTATCTTGAACTACAGATTTGAGATCTCTCTATCTAAATCAGAAGACAAACTGAAAAGAACGGGGACACATTTGCTTGTAAGTCAGCCTCTCAGACTTTTTTCAAAGGAACCCTAGCATCTTATATGAAAT